AGATTTACTATTTAAATGTGCACGCAATAAGTCAGAGAGTGACAGATGAAGACAAAAATTATTTATAACGCCCAGCTTCTCGGAAAGTAGAACCTTATCTCTCAGTAACAAATGAGAAAAGTTATTTCCAGCAGACCAGGTCATAGCACCTGTGATTTCTAACTTATTTTCATAGACAAAACACAGACCATGCCAAGGAATCTTGCCTCTCTTGGCACTGTCATTAACACAATGATACAAATCTTTTCCTTCATGTCTGAATGAGGCGAAGGAGAGGAAGGGAGGAAGGTAGTCTGCTGAACCCGTCATTGGATGTTTTGCAACCTTCGGATGTGGAATGTGGAACTTCCTCGCTCTGTGTCTCTATGACTCCTTGCGGGGTTTCCTGTATCCACAGCGAGTGTGCACCTCTAAGGTCAGACCTACTGTAAAGTTGGTCTGCTAAATTCTCAAAGTACAGTCGCTCGACATTCCTGTCTTCACCTTTATGTTTTTTAAAGAATATCTCCCCCAGGAGCTGTTCTTACCAGTAGGCAGGGGAGTTTTATACGAGTTATAAGAGGAGTTTGAGTCCTTGAGTTAACCACATCATTCAGACGCACTGAGACATTTATAGTTCCTATGAACACCCTTTACAAGATAAGAGATACAAAGTGAACTGAAGGGTTCATCATCTGGGAGGTTTGTCTTTGAAATGTAGCAGAACTTTAAACTGTAGTAAAAATATTGTGTAGATTACAATTTTGTTCTTATAAACTGGTGGGATCATGTTCGCAGTCAGTTTCTTGGGTCAAATGAAGCACTACATTCACCGGCTGCAACATACTTGCAGGAAGGTAGTTGTGGTGAATGTGGGCAGAGAAAGCTCAGAGTAGGGAGTGCTACCATTGGGGTTTGGTTCAGGCACTTGGTTGAGTAAAGGAAAGATTGTGGTTTTGGTTCAATGTGAATAATGTACCTCAGGTCACTGGGTGCTTTTGCTCCTGTCACATTTTTACTCATTTTTCACTGCAATATAAAGTCCTGCCCCTCTATGGAAACAGAACAACAATGGCTAGAAGTAGAGAAAAGTCAAACATGTTTTTTTTGTGCAGTATAACATCCATCCATTATCTATACACCTTGTGTATCTATACACCTAGCTATGCATACTTAATCCTCACTAGGGTCGTGGGGGGCTGGAGGCTACCCCAGCGGACTAAGGGCAAAGACAGGTGACACCCTGGACAGGTCGCCGGTCTGTCGCAGGGCTACACTTAGAGACAGACAACCAAGCACACTCACATTCACACCTACGGACAATTTAGAATCACCAATTAACCTCAACATGTTTTTGGACTGTAGGAGGAGGCTGCAGAACTCGGAGAGAACCCACGCTGCATGGGAGAACATGCAAACTCCACTAAGAAAGATTCCAGTGCCCCCACCGGAACTGGCGACCTTCTTGCTGCGAGGCAACAGTGCTACCAACTGGCAGTATAACAATCTTTTAAAAAATAAAAATACAAATATAAAAAATAGATATTTTATTACTCACATTTTTAATTTGGTTCTATCCATGTCTCTGTGCAAACACTGTCTGCAGTTCAGCCGAAAAGTCTCTGATTTTTGTTTCGTGTGACTTTTGGTTACAACTGAGTCACGAACGGTCTCCCTGTTGCATCAAGGAATGCAGAATTTTTAAATGAGATGTAGAATAAAGGGATTTTGATCAAAAAGCACGATTTTATGCTTGGATTTGTGTAGGTTATGTAGAATGTGGCTGTGAATGTGGTTGACTGTCTGGTTGTCTCTTAGTGTTAGCTCAACAATAGAGTGGTGGCCTGTCCAGGTACAGCTAATGGATGGATGGATGGATGGATGGATGGATGGATACATTAGGTTAAGTTTCCATTTGCAGCAACTAGATGAGCAGATGAAAGACTGTCAAAAGACTGAAAATTGGACATTTTTTTCTCTTTTTACTGTTTCTTGCTCTGACAGATTGTGTTATTCCTTCATGTCCTTCATATTTTTTGGTTCATAGGGTTAAACAAGACCTTTGAGGAAGAAATATGACAAATGACATTAAAACGACACTTTGAAGTGGTTACACCAGGGTCTACACCTCTGATGCATCTTCAGAAACTAACTATTAAGACTTTTGTTTGGTCTTACATTTCTAGAAGTTGAGCCAACTCCAAAACCGTGACCAGATATACGTCTCTGCTCATCCAGGAGGTCCTTATTTCAGCTACAATAGCTAAGATTTTGAAGGCATTTGTAGTCAACTTCTGTACAAGCCAGTGTAAGCTAAGCTCACCCAGAAACCACGTGGTAATCCTATTTCAAGCATGTTTTATTTTTGAACAGATGGAACTGGCAGAAGTGATGAAACCATGTTTATTTTAACTCCTAAACACATGTGGTCCGTTGTTGAAAGTTGGCGGTCTGATTCTAAAAGTTACAAAACGTCAAGGATGCGGAGTTCAGCGATCAGAAAGCCGCTGCACGTGTCTGAAGCACGGCGTAATAGTGAAACCAGGGCTTCCGTCATGCAGAGCCCCAGTCACTTACTATAAGCGTCTTATCTCAGTGTGTTTAGTCTATGTCTGTTTCTCTGATTTCAAACCCTGTCACGCTCGCTCCTTTCTGTCGCTCATTCGTCTGTCTAATGACTCTCCCACACACCAGACACCCTTCCACTCTGACCTCCTCTTTTACAAGGGTTAATGGTGTGAATTTCATTACTTAAACTGTATGGAAGTGTGATAAGTGTTTCAGACTAATGACTTTCAGCAGCACAGGCTTCCATATGGCTGAATGTTCATGTCACACTCATACATGCACATTAGAAATGTACCGAGACGTCGTTATCTGTACCTGCATCTGTCCAACCAACAAAATTATCTGTCTCCAAATCTGTGTTTGGACAGAAGACCAAATGTTTGAAATGCATATGGTTGCGCTTTACAGATGTTGATAGGTGTTTCACATGCCTGCTGTCTGTGTGTAGTGGCTTTGCACAATTTGCAGAGGACGTTAGTTGTGTCAGTTGGGCTGATTGTAAAGTGCTCCCAGATAGTGTTTTTTTGGGGGGGATTTGTTTTTTATTATTAGGTTTGTCCATTGCTAGTTTAACAAATAATGTATTGCTGTCACTTGAAGGTGTTGCTGTCTGCTTAACTGTATGAAAACCAAAACTTGCTGGTGAGCTTGAAAACCCCATCATTTTTAAAAGAAAGTTACCATAATTACACCATCTGTTCGAGCCTAAAACTGTAAAAGCAGAAAGAATCACAGGATTTTCAACTTTCTGATGGTCCTGTGTGATGTGCTGTACACTTAACCAAATATAAGTCCTAAAATTTGTTAGCTATTTCAGCAAAGTCCCTTTATTCTACATGTCTCATGTAACATTTGCCAAAAATAAACCCTTTACATTGAGAAGCTTCCGAAAAATACAAGGCATTCTGCAACCGAGAAGCCATTACTGACTCAGCTGTTACATGACAAACATTCAGGGACTTTTTGACTCAACTGCAGGCAGCAGATAGGAGACAAGTATGGAAACAATTTCAAGTAATAGCATTTCTATAGTGTATGGAGTCACCTTTCTTACACCTGTAAAAAAAAATGTTGTACAAGTTGATCCCACATCTAAGCCTGTAAAGTAAATAATCGAAGAAATTCTACTTTTAGAGAATGTTTTATGGCATAGCCATGTGCTCAAAAGACTTGTTGGAGTTCTCTTTACTTCTAGTCACGGTTGTGTTTTCTCCATAGAGGTGCAGGACCTAATATTGCAGTAAAAACTAAACCCACAAAAAGAAAAAAATGTGACAGAAGCAAAAAAAAAAAAAAAAAACACCCAGAAACTGCTTGAGGTTTAGATGGACAACCATCAAGTACATGGTAGAAATTCAGTGGACGCTAAGTCAAAGTTCCACGAAACCTCTGGCTGGTGCATAAAGCTTTTAACCTTAAACAGATGGATGCTGGCTGAAATACAGTATTTAACTTTCTTTTTCTTTTTTTCCTTCAATATTTCATCAGTTTTTCATTTTTTTTAAATGGAGAAAATTAACACTACAGGGTTATAGTTTGTGGGGGCTTTGAAGAAATCCAGCTGCCACACCAAACTTTTATAATTCTAGCTCCTGCACATGATGCCTCCTCCTCAATGTGAGAGTAACAACTGCCCATGATCAGTTTTCAGCCCATTGCCCACTTCTGAATGTTGTGTCATACATAAAATGACTAGTTAGTAAAACAATGTCCTATGTTGCAAGTACAATGGGCATTTTGTTTTCCTTGTGGCCATCCACAAAGACACACGTGTGACTTTTTATTATTCCAAATAATAATGAGCAACTTTAATTCAAAGAAATACCTGTTTCCATTTCATTTTTTATGCTTTCTCAAATAATGAAGTCACATTTGGCAATATCTCTAATTGGCACCACATTGCATTGTTGTGATACATTAATTACCCACAAGAGGGCTTTTAGGCCATGATCACAAATGACACTCCCATGTGTTGAGACAACTCATTAAAAAGGCTGCAAGATTCATTATATCTTTTTGCCTGCTGTGCATCTGCAGCACATCTGAGCCAATCTGGAGTAAATAAAATTGGAATGGGTGCTTTGCTTATATTCACAGGTCAAGGTATAATTTTAATGCTCTTAACTGACTCGATGAAAACTCCATAACAAAAATGTACTCGCTCATTTCCCAATATGTACATAGTGAGGCCAAAGCCAATAATTTGCTGCTTAAGCTGTGGGAGGCTGAGATGTTTACAACTGAAACACCTGTATGTGAGCTGGTTTGAAGGACGTTATGCACCTTCAGCAACCAATTTATTCAAATCAGAGTTTAGAGAAGCATCATGTGTGATCGTGGTCTTTTTTGGTTTTTCCCTCATTGAAAACCAAGTGGCAGAGAGTTAAGGAAGGAAAAGATAGAAATGGAGAAAGAGGGGAGTTTGCAGAGCAGTTTGGAGCAGTGAGACTTACCCTGGCACCCTTCTCTGGGAAACATTTACAGCCTCCACTGCAGTCTCTTCCTCCGCAGGGGCCACTGTGCTTCTTCCCACCCTGTCAGACACAAAACAGACAACGTGAGGGTCAGATCTGAGCTGTGAAAGGTCACAGATAGATATCCGGAGTTGCATGTTCACATTTGCATGCGCACAGCAGCGACATGTGTGTCATTGTGGTGTTGCTCGCATTCCTCTTTGGGCATTGCATGGGCCCCAGCGTGGGGTAAATTGTCGTGTGCTGTAGGTGTGAGCGGCTGTGTTTGTGTACGTTGCGGTTTGTGAGTGCACTCGTTGTTTATGCCAGCAGCAGTATTGCATTAGAGTGGATGATTGTTGCACTGCTCTCTGCTCAGTTGTGTACATTAAGTCTGGTGCGCTGAAAGGATGTTTGGGATGTGGCTCGAATGAGTCATGACGGACGGGCCGTGTGTCCATGACGAGAGGCCGGACCCAGCCACCGACAAGGACAATTTGTCTTTAGATGTCTGCATACCAGCCAAACCACCCACCATCACAGAGCCGATCTGTGTGAGACGCGACACAAGCACACACACACAGCTTGTGGAGTCAGTGCGGACATGGCATGATCAAAGAAGGCAGTCACACAAATGGGGTTTCCCAACCCACAGGTCAGAGGTGTCAAGACCCTAAAGCTAACTGAGAGAGGTGGAGACATTAACGAAGCCAGAATGGACTCTTCTTGTGGTGTTTCACAAAAAACAAAACTCCAGCACACAATCCCAGTGCCTTTAGTTTCTGTGCCATGACCACATTTCTTACTCCACAGAAGCAGAAACACAACTATTTGAATCCTTGGCAAATCCATCAACACAACACAACCTGCTGTGAGCCGCACCTCAGTGCTGCCAAACACATGAACACTAACTCATATTCTCCGCTGGGATTAATGCATCGCCATCCAAATGCCCTTTTAATAGATTTGTGGGTTAATTTTTGTCTAATTAAACCCTCCGGCACTGTTTCCATTTAAACGCATGACTGGAAACAAAGCTTTAAAGTTCTAAATATTCCGTTGAACTTTTCCTCATCGTCCCCGAGAGTGAACGATAATGAAACACACACACATAGCCTGCATCAACTCCAAGTTTCCATAGTTTAGGGAACGCATTTAAAACAGGCCCTTTCAATTAGTATTTGTGGGTAAATCTTTGACATTGCAGAAAGGCTCCACGTAGCTGGTTTATCTCATGACGTCTCTCCCTCCTATGTCCGCCTACGTCTTCCACCTACACACCCATACCATAGCCTGCTTAGGCAGCAGATGCCGCAATACCATCCCCACTCCCGTGTCAAAAACCCCCCTCTAAAAGACCACTTTATGCCCACAGTAGCAACAAAGCGGCAGATAAAGAATCAGAATAATTCTCTGTCTTGGCTTTGACAGCAGAACCCAGCAGCCCGGTTCACAAAGGCCACATTGAGACCCTCCTCACGCACAAAGACCTCCTTATACTATGGCGACTTCGTCCTTTAATGATCCCCTATCTTCAACAAAAAGACCCTCTTCCTCTCTCTTATGGAATGCACAAGGCGGCATTTCTGCGTTAACTATCAGCGGATCTGAGGAGTCCCATTCAAACCACTGTTTGATATAGACATGCTGTGATGGGTTTAATTTAGCCTGCATGCTATGGTGGCAGACTGTCCACAAACAACATTCTTCACTTAAACGCCAAATTTAAACTGGCTATGCGACACACAGAAAACCCCAGAATTAGGCCGGGGGAATACCTACACAACTGTTTTAGTTTCTCAAGTGGAGGAGATGAAAAAGCGAAGGTCACTTTATTCCAGCAAGGATGTAGCAGAGTCACGGCATGACCTTTCTCCACATTGAGGTGGAAGTCCAGAGCAGACAATAGACTGCGTCATCTCTGCACGGACACACAAAGGAATGGCTCCCATAAAGGCAATTACACATCGCGGAGCAATGCACCATCAATCCAACTTTACAGTTTACGAGCTCAAAATAGCTGATGGCGGCTTCAGGAGAGGACAATAGGATTGTGCTACAGTATCCTGTTTTCTCCACACACAGTCACAATAAACCACCGCTGGTTAAAATCACCTTTTCCACAGCTCCACGGCACACCTTGGAAACAAGTCTGATGGCAGTTTGTGGGAGCATTTATGTGCGTTAGGGCAGAACGATTTGGGCTAAATGCTTAATTGTGCTATTTCTGACTTGTATAGCGATTTGATTTGCGATATTTTTAAAGTTTAGCTTTGGTTCAATATTCACTGTGTAATAGATTTAAAACATGAAACGGAGCATTGCTACATGAGATACCATCGAAAGCATGACCGTCACACAAGTAGGAAGGCATAAAATGGTAAATCCAGTAAATTCTGGGTCAGAGACACTGTATAATGAAAATCCTAAACTGCAGCCATTGCAATTTGCTAATTGCATCTATTCAAAGATTCATTATTCTTCCCTGATCTGCATTAAAGCAAAAAAAAAGCTTGAAAAAGTGCAACAATAAACCATCATACCATGAAAAATGTTGAAATGTTTGTTTAATGAGGCTCAATAACCTGCAGGATATTACGCCAAACATTTTTTATTTGTCTTTGTCTTTGATACTTGTTCAGTTAATTTGCGCTCAACCAAAAAATAAATAAATCTACATATCTTTGCCTTCTAGCTCAGGTTCACGTTGTGTTTATACTGACTATTATAAATTATACGAGCAGTGGTTCATCCGCATGACTTCATGAGTCACTGTGTCTCATTGATTTGGATAATTTCGTTATCCTCAATCATCAGACCTACATGAGGGAAGCAAGTACCGAACAGCAACACGCAACTAATTCTATGTATTTATTCCACTCTGATGAGCTGCGAAAGAAATAGGTGATTAAAAGCATTGTTAATATAGACTGTAAGGTATATGCTTGTAGTATATTTATACTGACAGGCAACAAATAGAAGAACAGAGGGGCTTCTTGTACAGTAACATTCGAACAGCAAAGTGCATCATCGCCTTATTTCAGCTGTGTTTGTGCTTCTCTAATTGTTAGTTACGGTATGTTAGTTCAGTTATGGTAATTGCGATTTGATTTGCAATAGATCACTGTGTAATAGACTAAAACGTGATCGAGCATTACCCCATGAGATACCATAAAAGGAAGATTGGGTACAAGGACGATGGCTTGTATTTGTATACACCAGTGACTTGACGGTGTAAACTCTTGGTCAGACACACTGCATAACTTCATGCTAAATAAAATGCTTCAAATTGCAAACTTGGTTAGAAATCAATGAATCTTCAGCACTATGTTTAAAAATAGATGAATATAAATAGATAGAAATATAGAACACTTCAAAAGGACAAAAGCTTATAGATCTCGATCCCATTCCAAGAAAACTGATGAGGATGACGTGACATGACTTGGCGGCAGCAGATATGTGGTTTTAGCAGTAATTTCTAAGTGCTGATTGCAAATTATATGTTCACAGTTTGTCTGACTTATTGAGGTGATGCAAATCTTTTCTTTTTGCCTATTAATTGATTGAGTTTTTGGATTTATTGTACTTTATCAGATGATGTATCTTTAGAAAACATGATGAGGAACCTGCAGAAGGAGCATCAGCACAAGCCGTGACCTCATGTTAGACCTCACATAAGATGTAGAAATGTTTTCTTTCTAACAGAATCGGAGGCTGTGGTGTTGTGATTGACTGAGTCAAGAAGCGGAGCCTGTAAAGGTGGAACAGCGGAAAAGAAGTTCAAAGAATAGGCTACGACAAAGATCTAAACTACTTTTAAGTTCATCAGCTGCTCATGGAATCTGTTGAGGAAGCAATCAATATAATACATTATTGATGAGAAGGAAGAAGACGGCTCAAAGAGAGACTTCATCCATCTCCCATGTGAGATAAATAGACGAGAAAAAGACGAACAAGACCAACAGATAATTCCAGACCACCTTGGACCACAGTGTGGGGTCCTGCAGACGAACATCATAAATCCAGCACCTATATGTAATACTGTAACAGGACCAGCTCCCAGTAACAACATAGGACAAATGAATGCTTTAGCAGACTCAATATTTCATCTGTGAGCTAAAGAGGCAAGCAAAGAGGCATTACAATCGTTTAGTATAAAGAACACATCTATTCTAGAAAGCTATACAAAAATGGAAACTCCCAGGCCTCTGTTATGAGAGCTTTCAAACAATGATGAATATGACACGAAACAAAGACCATAAAGCGGTGCACTTCCTGGGATCCTGTTGGCTTTAATTAATCATCCGTGGCTCCTCGTTTACAGCGACGATCATCTTTTATCTTCTTGTGGACTGAGATCTGCTATACTTCACAACCACGTGCTCAGACATAAACATCATATCCACCACAAAAACAACAAAAAAAGCATACTTTTCAGATATACATCGACCTGTACATCACTCGGACCACACACGCTTAAAAGAGGCCGAATGAAAGATTGGTTCAAGTAACAACAGGCTGTTTTCCACTTAGAGCCAACATGGTGTCTGACAGTCAAAACAAGTCTTATTCCTCTATTCGTCGGGGTTCCTCACTTTTGAAGTGAGCCATTTAATCACCACAAACAGAGCAACATACTAAGTATTAATGTGAAAAACATTTAAGACATATTTCATTAGGAGGGAATCAATCATCTCCCCTAATGGAAGACAGAACATCTGGTCTCATATTACCGAGCCACGGAACCCCGCCCTGCAGAGAGATTTACAAGAAAATAACTTGGATCAGTCTGTAAAAATAAAGCCAATGAGGCCTTATTTACATGGCAGATGTCTGTTACTGATATGTGTGGGTGTCTCTGACCCTGTGTGCATGTATGTGTAGGGGCGTCTACTGTATAAGCACGCCATTTGACACGTCATATTTCTCTATACCCAAGAAGCTTTGACTATCTAAATACTGACAAAGTGCCGTGTGATAAAGCAGAGTTTTAGTTCCTAGAAGCTTACAAGGTGCTCAGATGAATGTCTTTCTTAATGAGAAATGTTGTTTTTGTTGCCTCCCTGTTCTTTATGGCTGCA